CTCCTCCTCACTTTGAACACACTTACCCCATTGTTCTCGCCACTTTCTGAAGTAGTTCTGGAAGTCCTCTTTCATGAGTGTCTTTAGTTTGCACTGTTGTGGCTGCCTCAATGTCTTGAATCAATTCAAAATGTTTACCTTTCATGGTTATTTTGACTTTGGGGAGGAGCCAGAAGTCGCATGGTGCTAGATCCAGTGAATAAGGTGATGAAGATACATCATAATATTTTTATTTGACAGAAATTGCTATACCAGAAGTGATATGTGACACGAAGCCTTTCCACTGTGATCACAAATACGGTGAATGCTGCTGCCATGTGCTATCCAATGGAAAAGCAGGGATCTTCAATATGGGAAATGGTGCATTGAGCCTTAGTAACAGTGTGTGACCAGTTTCAACTTGTTCGGTACTATCAGTTAGGTGTGAACTACAGTGGAGGGAAGGTGTGTTTTAAAGTGTGCAGTAAATCATCCTCCATCATGACAATGCTCTTGTCTGTCACACAGCGCTTCTGGTAAATGGCAATTTCTGTAAAATAAAAACATTACAGATGTGTCCTCTTCAACCTTATTTACCGAATCTGGCATCATGCAACTTCTGGCTCTTCCCCAAAGTCAAAATGATTCAGGACATTCAGGCAGCCACCACAGCGCAACTAAAGACACTCGTGAAAGAGGACTTCCAGAACTGCTACAGAAAGTGGCAAGAATGATGAGGTAAGTGTGTTGCAAGCAAGGGGGAGCATTTTGAGGATGATTAATGGCAATGTGTCTTTTACTGTAATAATTTTTTTTAATTAAAGTTTATTGGGATGATAATGGTTAGTAAAGTTACATAGGTTTCAAATGTACAATTCTGTAATACATCATCTATATATCACATTGTGTGTTCACCACCTAGAGTCAGTAATTTTTTTATTTAAGCATTCACTGTATTGTTTGATCACACCTCTTAATTTTGTACAGTGACAGATGGTTACTAGACTTATAGTAGGAATCACTTCGTTAGGTATATAAATGTTTTTTGTTGTTTTTTT